GATGCTTTCGCTATTTCTGAAGCAAGAATGTAGTTGCCAGCAGCATAAAATGCTCTTTTAATGGGTGTTGGTTCATCATCAAATACAGTCCTCCACTGGCTGATGCAAGGTGGTGGGGACCTCAGTAGAATGCCATTCAGGTGGTCCTTAACAGCCTCAGTCACAGTGGTTTTGCCTGCATTTCATTTATAGAAGGAAACACTTGTGTTATTATGTGCCAGATACACCTGAGTTTTAAAAACTGAAAAAACTCTCCTTTCTGTTCGTTTGGAGAAAATGTTCTGACACCTGAATATGTGACTTGAATATCTTGTGATCAGATTGTCAGGGAAAAATTATTCTGAGTGTGGTTGCAGGAATTATTACTCTCCTTCCTGATCTCTGGGCCTTCCAGCCCTTCCCCTTGACAACTTTCAGTCTTCACTCCCTTTAATACATTAAATGCATGACTATTTCTCTGTATATTTATTTATAATATTTTTCAAGGTCACAATTCATGTGGATCTTGCCATGTTGCCATCCAATTCTTCTTTTTAAGGGGATTTTGAGTTTTCTTTAACTGAAAAGTCAGAAAACAGAGGCAACTAATATTTCTCAGAGGCAAGCTGCTGCCAGTCTCCCAGACTACCACTATTTTAGTTAATTTATTTGAAAACTCTCAAGTAAAAGTATGTTTTGTCATCTGCACAAGAAATTTAATTATTAGTACTCCACTCTTGGTATTCTTTCATTTACTTAAATAAGGAATTAACCCACAGCGTGAAAATTAGCATAGACTCATCTTCTACAAGTCAAAGAAAACATTTATATAATTGATTTATATTTATGTTTATGTTATTTATACTATTTTCTTCAATTCTGTCACACGTTTCCAGGATTTTTATTATTTTTTTTTTTAATTTTTAAGACTTACACCTGAATTAAAGCCAGAGCACTTGCTCTTTTCAACAATTTCTCGTCTATAGTTCCTCACCCATACATTGCTCTTACCAGTGGCATCCAGCCCCTCAAAAACTATGACGGGAAAATCGCCCTTTTTCTGGTGCTCCGGACATTTCTCCAGCAGGTCGAGTACTGCTTCAGCCTCTGGGATCCTCTCTGCGCACTGCAAGGAAAGATCACAGAACGTGTTGGGTCGGAAGGAACCTTAAACAGTCATCTAGTCCAGCCCCCAGGCAGCACAGTGGGACATCTTAAACCAGATCAGGTCCAGAGTCCTGTCCAACCAAGCTAGGAATGTTTCCAGGGATGGGGCATCCACCACCTCTCCTGGAAAACTGTGCCAGTGTTTCACCACCCTCATCGGAGAAACTTCTTCCTTACACCTGGTCAGGATCTGCCATCCCTCCGTTTAAAACAATTATCCCTTGTCCCCTTCGCACCCGCCCACCCCACGAAGCCGAAGAGCCCTGGTGCTGACCTGGCGCAGGCGGTGGCGGAGGGCGCTGGCCGAGGGTGGCAGAGCTTGGCGGAGGGGCCCGGGGCCCGGCGACCCCGGGGAGCAGCGCCGCAGCATCGCCTGCTTGGGAACTGGGAGCTGGAGCAGGAGTCGGGAGCTGGAGCGAGAGCCGGGACCGGGGCCGGCAGCAGCGCGGAGAGGGGCGGACGGAGGCGGAGGAGGAGCCAGTGGGAAACGAAACTGGAGCGGCAAGCCGGGAAAGCGCCGGTCTGCGGAGACCAGTTCGGAGCCAAGGGCAGCTCTTCGGGGAGCCCGTTCTGCCTTCCCCGCCCCGCATCAGTGGCACCGGGATGAACGGGCTCCTTCCCACGGGGAATGGCTCTTTGAGCTAGTGGTCGGCAACAGACGTGGGAAGTAAGGTCCTAGCCTAGGTGTCTGCCAGCACCAAAAGGTCATATTCTCGCGGGCTCCCATGGCTGAATCCTGGTGATCTCCTAAAAAAACCAAAATATAATGAAATGCTATTAAAAAAAAAAAAAAAAAAAAAAAAAAAAAANAGGGGTTTCTTTAATATACGAACCTGTCTATGATCACAGGTGCCTGAGTGGATGCTTTCGCTATTTCTGAAGCAAGAATGTAGTTGCCAGCAGCATAAAATGCTCTTTTAATGGGTGTTGGTTCATCATCAAATACAGTCCTCCACTGGCTGATGCAAGGTGGTGGGGACCTCAGTAGAATGCCATTCAGGTGGTCCTTAACAGCCTCAGTCACAGTGGTTTTGCCTGCATTTCATTTACAGAAGGAAACACTTGTGTTATTATATGCCAGATACACCTGAGTTTTAAAAACTGAAAAAACTCTCCTTTCTGTTCGTTTGGAGAAAATGTTCTGACACCTGAATATGTGATCAGATTGTCAGGGAAAAATTATTCTGAGTCTGGTTGCAGAAATTATTACTCTCCTTCCTGATCTCTGGGCCTTCCAGCCCTTCCCCTTGACAACTTTCAGTCTTCACTCCCTTTAATACATTAAATGCATGACTATTCTCTGTATATTTATTTATAATATTTTTCAAGGTCACAATTCATGTGGATCTTGACATGTTGCCATCCAATTCTTCTTTTTAAGGGGATTTTGAGTTTTCTTTAACTGAAAAGTCAGAAAACAGAGGCAACTAATATTTCTCAGAGGCAAGCTGCTGCCAGTCTCCCAGACTACCACTATTTTAGTTAATTTATTTGAAAACTCTCAAGTAAAAGTATGTTTTGTCATCTGCACAAGAAATTTAATTATTAGTACTCCACTCTTGGTATTCTTTCATTTACTTAAATAAGGAATTAACCCACAGCGTGAAAATTAGCATAGACTCATCTTCTACAAGTCAAAGAAAACAGATTAGCATTTATATAATTGATTTATATTATGTTTATGTTATTTATACTATTTTCTTCAATTCTGTCACACGTTTCCAGGATTTTTATTATTTTTTTTTTTTAATTTTTAAGACTTACACCTGAATTAAAGCCAGAGCACTTGCTCTTTTCAACAATTTCTCGTCTATAGTTCCTCACCCATACATTGCTCTTACCAGTGGCATCCAGCCCCTCAAAAACTATGACGGGAAAATCGCCCTTTTTCTGGTGCTCTGGACATTTCTCCAGCAGGTCGAGTACTGCTTCAGCCTCTGGGATCCTCTCTGCGCACTGCAAGGAAAGATCACAGAACGTGTTGGGTCGGAAGGAACCTTAAACAGTCATCTAGTCCAGCTCCCAGGCAGCACAGTGGGACATCTTAAACCAGATCAGGTCCAGAGTCCTGTCCAACCAAGCCAGGAATGTTTCCAGGGATGGGACATCCACCACCTCTCCTGGAAAACTGTGCCAGTGTTTCACCACCCTCATCGGAGAAACTTCTTCCTTACACCTGGTCAGGATCTGCCATCCCTCCGTTTAAAACAATTACCCCTTGTCCCCTTCGCACCCGCCCACCCCACGAAGCCGAAGAGCCCTGGTGCTGACCTGGCGCAGGCGGTGGCGGAGGGCGCTGGCCGAAGGTGGCAGAGCTTGGCGGAGGGGCCCGGGGCCCGGCGACCCCTGGGAGCAGCGCCGCAGCATCGCCTGCTTGGGAACCGGGAGCTGGAGCAGGAGTCGGGAGCTGGAGCGGGAGCCGGGACCGGGGCCGGCAGCAGCGCGGAGAGGGGCGGACGGAGGCGGAGGAGGAGCCAGTGGGAAACGAAACTGGAGCGGCAAGCCGGGAAAGCTCCGGTCTGCGGAGACCAGTTCGGAGCCAAGGGCAGCTCCTCGGGGAGCCCGTTCTGCCTCCCCCGCCCCGCATCAGTGGCACCGGGATGAACGGGCTCGGTCCCACGGGGAATGGCTCTCTGAGCTAGTGGTCGGCAACAGACGTGGGAAGTAAGGTCCTAGCCTAGGTGTCTGCCAGCACCAAAAGGTCATATTCTCGCGGGCTCCCATGGCTGAATCCTGGTGATCTCCTAAAAAAACCAAAATATAATGAAATGCTATTAAAAAAAAAAAAAAAAAAAAAAAAAAAAAAAAAAAAAAAAAAAAAAAAAAAAAAAAAAAAAAAAAAAAAAAAAAAAAAAAAAAAAAGAAGGTATCAATATGTTCCAAGGCAAGGGACTGGCCCAAAAGAGTCAAACAAGTCCTAAACTGCTTTGTTGAGTTGCAGTGCCTAAGCAGCACTAAGCTGTTGGGCATATTGGCGCTTAACCTCATTATTTGTTTACTCACTGCCTTGATAACAAGATCAATAGCAGACACAAATACTTTTGGGAGTACAATGAACTTTTACAAGCCTGCACTGTTTTTGTAACTATGTGATGGCAAATTTCAGCCTTCATCAGCTCAACAGCAGGAACCAGAAGCACTGAAAATATCTATGGCACTTAGTCTTGTGACAGCTGCTATGAGTAATATTGCCCAAAATGTAGATACTGAGGTTTCAAAATACGTAACTTAAAATGTAGGACAACCTGCACCTCTGTAGAATCCTTTTCCTCCCTTTCAATAGCTGAAAATCTGCCACCTAGAGAGATCTAAAGTTAAACTTACGATGCATTTTCTGAAAGAATATACTCTACAGGCTAGTGTACTCTACAAGAAATTCCTCAGAAACTTGATGTCTTCCTCTGGTCAGCTCAAACAAGCTGCACAAAAAGCTTTTGCTTAGTATATCTTCAGGGAGAGTAAAGCAGCTGGTAGGCAGTATCAGCTTGACAGAGATCAGCTGTACTAGTTGGAAACGGCCCATGCTGAGGAAGCCAGTGGAAGGCTGGGCCAGAGCTGAAACTGGGAGCACAACCCTAGAGGCTCTTCAATAGTCTCAGCATCTGATACCAAAACTGCCTTTTTTTTTTAAGGCCCTTTTCAGTACCTAAGAACTCCTGCATCATTCCACATGACTCAAACACATGGCTATGGCTGGCTGTGAATACCAGAAGACACAGGATAAAACGTAGTTCATTACACAGGAAGCCAATAGATGGTAATTTTAGTACCATGATCATATGCTCTGAGTCAAAGTAGTGGCCACTCTCACACAATATTTTGTCTTGCAGAATGACATGCTGTGCATATGCCTGGCTTATCCATGGTCCCCTCTCCTAGTCCTGCTCCTCCAGCATCCACAGTCACTGAATTAGGAGTGGTAGACAGCACATCCTCATCTTTTCCTTTTAGCACCCACTATGGATCTTTGCTCATACATCTATCTAAATTCCTTTTTGACTCTGTGATATAGTCTACCTCCGCAAACCCCTTTGTTCTCAAATTCCAGCAGTGAAACTGTTGCATAAAAACTTTTATAAGTTTTAAACTCATATCCTACTTGTTTCAACAAGCGCCCCTTCCAATAATATTACTGATTTTGGTGAATAACAATTCATAACATTCAGCTTATTTATCACCTATGTGATTTTTTTCAAAGTCAGTCAGATTTCCCTTCAGCTTTTTCATGCCAGAAAGTATAGCCTTCATCTCTTGTAAAGCAGGTGCTTCGTCCCTTGATCATTTGGAACCAGGGATAACTTCTTTAACTCCATAAGGATATGCCAAGATGTGGAGACCTAAACTGGACCACTACTCAGGGTATGGCTACACGTACCAATGTTCCACAGGCCAGCAGAATAATGCCATCTGCCTTATTCCAAATACCTTTCTGGGTGATACTGAGTGATATCAAGCTTTTTCTTTTTTTTTTTTTTCTGCTGCCTCCCATGGAACCATTGCCTATAGAAGAGTAACAGCAGTGACCGAGACCTCCTTCCTGAGTGCAAGTTCCACAGCTGAGCTCATCATCAGGTACACAAGGTTTCGATTATTCTTTCCTATCTCCACTGTCTCACCCTTATCTATGACAAAACTAATCTGTGACTTTTATGTTCATTCGTTTGTTTGACACCCAATTGACTTGCAGCCAAGTTTCGATTCAAAAGCCCTTGTAAAGCTGACCATTTTCTTCATTGACCTTGCTCTTCTGTATGTTTGTGTTTTTTTTCCTGATGCTGCTGTTGCCTTTCCCTTCTCTGCTGAATGGAAAGTGCTTACTTTCATTTTCCCTTTTCCCCTCCCACTGCCTTGATACAGCCTTGTTACAAGCATTCCTGAGCTAAGTTGGTTACTTCACTGTCAATTGGTTGCTTCCTGCGTTTATAAGATGCTTAAGAGAACATTCATAGTAGGCCTGTCCTCCTGGCTAATTACCCTCTTGGATGATTCAAGTACAAATGTAGGAAAAGACAGTTGCCTTTTATACCCAAGATAGGTCTTTGTATTTAAAAATCATTGTAGAGAGTATAACTGTTTTGAAACTAACTTATTTTAAGCAGCTTTCAGCTTTTTTACAAGGACCTTTATAATTTTGCCCCCTGTATAATATGATGCAATGTTGAAGAGAAATAGGCTAATTATGTGAAAAAAAATTGCTCAGGAGTCTTTTCACATCTTTGAGTGCCCATTGTGCTTGCATGAAGCTACAGGGAAGAGATACAGACACAACAAAAAACTATATGAACATTCAAACCCTTTTTGATCCACCCAAAATGGAAAAAGAGAAAAAAAAACCCTGAAAATTGCTTAGCCTGTAACTTAAAAATATATCTAAGTGCACAGTCCTGTAAACAGCTGTCTGAGACAAAGAAAAACTTAAGCTGAAGGTCCATAAAATGCATAGGTACAGAGAACACACACAAATAAACCTGCTGTTTTAATGCAGAATAAACTTTAAAGGACATCAGTAGAGGGCTCTCTGGTAGAAAAAGGTCTAGATATAAGACCGGAAGAAGGCAGAAGTCAGTAAAGTCTCAGGCCAAAAGAGCTCCCTCTTCTGCCCACGACAATGTCCATTGAAAGATGTTTGGAGAAGGATACGGAAAGGACAAAGAAAGATCCTTCTCCCAACATACTTTTGCCAAGGAAGGACTTGATGATCCTTGAGGTCACTTCCAACCTGGTGGAATTCTACAATTCTGTGATCTTGTCCCATATCCTAGGAACCATCTTTTGAATACTTCCTGAGTGGGAAATCACATATTAAGGGCCCATGGTGGACCTCTTTCAAATGTGTCTAATCTGTGTCTATATTTATATTGTGTGTTTCATATGTCTTTCATAACTTAATTGCATATGGGTTTTAACTTTCTGTATGGTAATTTCCCATTGTATTTCTGCATCCCAGGGAGGGATGAGTCACTAAGTACAAGGTCCTTGACAGAATCCCATTTATAGTGTTGCAGATGCAATAAGATGGAGATCATTTCCACCTGGGACTAGAGAAAGAAGTAATACATTTATCATATGCTAAAAATTACATCTGTCATTGCGTGACTTGCCTGGTTGTCCTTGGACCTTTTCTGGTCCTCACAGGTGAAGTAATAATGACTCCTCCTTCAACCTTCTTTATGTTTCTGGCTCCTATCAGTACTTTGCTTTCCCTAGCAAGATATTGTTTGACTGGAACTGCCAAAAAGCCACACTGGAGAAATCCATATCTTTATTTTTTAAAAATAAAAATACAGTATTTAGATTAATAATTGTTTCAAAGTTTTACTTTCCTAACAACTAGGGAGCACAAGAGCATTTTCCCTGTTTGTTCAGTTGGATTCTTCCATGTTAGTTGTGTACCTATGTATCATTAATAATGTAACATTATTCAGTCATTTTCGAAAATTATATTAACCTTTAAAAGTTTTTTGTGCAGATTTGCGGAACTAAAACATTTTGAGCACTGGGACTCCTTTGTGTCACTGTAACTTGACTTCCACAGGAAGCACAGGGAAGGAATCAGACTTCCTACCATTTTCAAAGAACATCATGTTTTTCTGAGACTCTTTTAGAAGGTGCCAGGACAGAAAATTTTGCTGTAGTTCTTGCTTGCAGCATTTCTTGTAGATGCAAAGCTAGTGTATAAAAAAGAACATTTGTGTTTTCTTGTAGGTCTCACCATACAGCCTGTGCACTGGGACATTTCAGGCAGTAAAATGTGATTGTCATTCTTGTTGCTAGTTAGTACAGCAACATCTGTACATCTATAGGGGGCATGTCCTTGTCTGGGTTTACTTTGTGGGGCTTGACAGTAATGCAGAGAGTGTTGTCTGAAAATACACTTAATTGAGGCAAAAATTAGAACCCTTATAATTGCCATTTTCTAAGAAAGTACTAATAGAATTACAGAGAACAGGAAGTCTTGAGTATGTCTGAGTGTTAGGTTCTCTGCTTTTTAGTTCCTTGAAACAGAGATCTGCCCTTTCCAAATGGTTCAAATTGGTAATGGTTTAGTTTGCTGATTCTTTCAGCAACATTTTTCTGATATGCTTGTGGAGCATTTGTGCATCAGATGTAAGTCTTTTATTGAGATAAATTGATAATCATCAAGGATTCTTTACTGATTTCGGAAATGAAGTATTTTGAACCTAATTTTCAGTTCTGGGCTGAGGCCACAAAAGGCCTAGGTCACTGTGCCATTTTCAATGGATCTTCTGCAATTCCCAAACTTTCAGGAGGTCAGGGAAGTTTCTGAGACAGAGTGAGCTAAATGATAATTTGTGACCTGCAATAAAATCCCTATGCAAAGCTATATTTATAGATTGTGTGGTTGGTGACACACATACTTATATAAATCTCAAGGAACTGGACAGGAACATGCTTAACTTCTTCTGATGGAATAGTCTCTTCTGACAACCTCAGAGACAATTTTGGAAATCCTCAGGAACAGAGACATTTTCCATCCTGCTTCAACGATACCTTCGTGAAGTGGCATTACTGCGATTAGTCATAGCAAGAAGTCTCCCATCCCGCCCTGCTGACAATGAATCTGTTCCAGCAAGAAACAGCTGATAGAGACAATAAAAACTGTTCAAAGGGGAAAACCTGAAACCCTGTTATTTACTGATCCAGACATTACTAAGTCAGTAGATCATATCCAAGAAAGTGAAAGAAAGGTGACCGGAATTTGAGGATATTTGAGCCAATGACAGACCTAATTAATATAAAGGAAACACTTGCGATTCACAAGAAGGTTTTGTTTCTCATTAAAACTTGTAAAAAGGATGAAACTAGTTCTCCCACCCCTTTTCCAAGGGGAAAAAAAAAATAAAAAAAAGGAAAGGTAGCAACATGAGGGCAAGACTGTCCAGCTACATCAGCAATTCTGTCTGGTAAATGGAAGTAAGGGAAGCTCCAAAGTGAGAGAAGCCTGCCATGGACAACATGCAATTGGTAGATGATCAGGTTTGAGTATAGCTCCTCACCTTGGCAGCAGTGGCAATACTAAACTGCCCACACAAGAATGAGGAAAGCTGACTGAAGGCAGAGAGAGGCTGAAAAGTTGTGGTGTGCCTATTGGTGTGTTTGGACACACTGAAAGACTGAGGAACAGCAAGTGGTGCTATGATGCTCCTTCTCTAGGAGTAGCTGTTGTGCCATGAGGAATTGAGGAATATGGAAACTGGAAGCTTGGTCCTGGTCTCTCCTGGTGTTACCATGAGTGGGCTGCTATCTGTCCAACCCTGCCCTCAGGCTGCCAGCTGTTCCTGCTGTCAGGGCTAACCATGTAGTTTTGCCTGAGGTCCGGTATTGGAGACAAAGAATTAAAGACCCTGCAAGTACATTCTTTCATGTATCTGAAACCTTCAGGCTCCCTAGTTTGGGATGTTTTGCAATGCAAAACTGTTTCAACTTACAAGTGCTCCTGACTTACTGAGAAGGGTGCAATGCAGTTATACAAGCTCAGCTTTCCCCCTGCTTCACAAATCACACGAGTTTTAACCAGGAGAGCCAGAGCCACTGAGACCTCATACATCAAAAGCGGTCTTCAGGTGCTAAACCTGCTCAAACCCAGAGGTGCTGAAACCTGCTACCTGCGTCTGGCAGCCAGTGGGTTCCGCGGTGGCCGTGTCCGAGAGGCGCATTTGAGGCGTGGGGACACGGGGGACACAGGCGGGGTGGGGCGGGAGAAGGAAAACATCGCGCCTGCGGTTTGGTGCCAAGTTTCGTTTTTGCGAGAACGGAAAACGAAACTGAGCTGTTCCCTGTGCTCCGGCAAAGCGGGGCTGGACGGGACGGGGAGGCTCTCACCGCGCTCTTAAATGCGGAGCGGCGGGCACCTCGCTGCAGACTGCGAGCCGAGCCGGGTCAGATTGAACCGAACCGAGCCCAGCCGAACCGAGCCCAGTCGAACCGAGCCCAGCCGAGCCAACTCCGGTCGAAGCGTGCCCAGGCGACTCCAAGTGAAGAGCAGCGCATCCCGCCGGGTCCAAGCCGAGCCGAACCGAGCCTAGCCATGCACCTGGTCATGCTGGGGCGGCTGCTGTCCGTAGGACGGGCGGTGCTGGCGGCGCTGCGGGGGCGGCTGAGCGCTTTGTGTTGGAGCCTGGCTCCCCTCTCCCTGTCCCTGTCCCTGTCCCTGCCCTTGCTTGGCCGGCAGTGGGACTCACCTCCACGGCGGAAGCGAGAGCAGGAGTGGGACGACGCGTCCCCGACGCCCACCAGTGTCAACTACCACTTCACTCGGCAGTGCAACTACAAATGCGGCTTCTGCTTCCACACTGCCAAGACCTCCTTTGTGCTGCCCCTGGAGGAGGCCAAGAGAGGGCTGGCGATGCTCAAGGACGCGGGTGAGTCCGGGAGGGGGTGCCGGCGGGAACCGGGGAGGGGAGACGCCGCAAGAGCAAGAGCCGTCGAAAAAGTTATCCCTGGCACGACCCTGTACCTTTTCATGGCGCTGCCGTGGGACACCGATAGCATGTGGAAGGAGTAGGCGACGGGCAGCAGAGGTTCATCATCTTTCTTTGGTCCTTCTCTAGGAATGGAGAAAATAAACTTCTCGGGAGGAGAACCGTTTCTTCAGGACAGAGGCGAATTTGTAGGCAAACTGGTCCAATTTTGCAAGCAGGAGTTGGAGCTCCCGAGTGTCAGCATTGTTAGTAACGGCAGCCTGATCAGAGAGCGATGGTTCAAGAAGTATGGTAAGGAGGAACTGCTGGGCAGAACAACACTGGACGGGTTGGGGCGCCTTCGTGGGGCAGCCTCACCCACAGATGGATTTGGGGGCAAGTGGGAAATGTTTTTTTAGTGGTTCACTTACAGTAAACGCAAACCAAATGTAAATACCAGTGAAGTAGTGTTGATTATATTTTGTGAACACAAGCATTATACCAAAGGACTCTTTATAATAATGATGTAATAAAACAATAGCTCAGCCTGTCTCCATAATGCTGGGGACAGACACACTCAAACTATGTGTTTTGACACTGCTGTTGCTGTGGCTTTTGCGGTTGATGGGATGACTCCACAGAACTATATTTACATGTCACTTCATGACAGATGATAAGGAAGTGAAAGTGGGCAGATTCCTGACAGCTTTTAGCTGAGGGACTGGATATTAATCAATTTTTAAAACTTGTTTTCAGGTGAATATTTGGACATTCTGGCAATTTCATGCGATAGTTTTGATGAAGATGTCAACGTTTTAATTGGCCGTGGTCAAGGAAAGAAGAACCACGTGGAAAATCTGCATAAACTGAGACAGTGGTGCCGAGAGTATGCTGTTGCTTTCAAAATAAATTCGGTGATCAATAGATTTAATGTTGAGGAAGATATGAATGAGCAGATCAAGGCACTCAACCCCGTGCGCTGGAAGGTAAGAAAGTAGAGTATACAATAGGTTTCTTGTTCAAAGAAAAGTAATAATGAGATTTTGGAGTTGTCTGAATGTCTAATGACCTCTGTCAGATCTCCAGCTCCAGCTTGGGATGGTGTTAGGGGTCTTCTTGTCAATGTTGCATGGTGTTGAGACAGGTTCTGTCTCATTCTGCACTTGCATGGAGCCTAGTATGTCAATAATATTTTTTTTTTTGTAATATGTACAGAAAAATTACTATTTCAGTGTATGTAGATATAGGTATTTTATTATATTAAAATTAATATGGAAGGTCTTAAGGTTTGAAAATGTGTCATGGTGTAGAGAAAATGAAAAATCAGTATACAGTGATACATTAGAGTCAATATATTGTTAACAAGATAAGTGTACATTAATGATCTCTTATAGAGAGATTAATGTACATATATTTTTTACTAGAAATGTATTAAATACATTATGTTTCAGTTTGAAAATGGGTAGAGGTAATGTGACATAAACATGGGAGAACTTGTAGAATAATTTCTCATTATTTGCTTCATGGCAATTGTTATACACACAGAATTTCTCAGAAAAAAAACCAAAACAAACACTTGAAGTGAAATCTTGGTCCTACTAAAGGATAGTACTGAAAATGATAATTTAGAACATATAGAACTCTATGATTGTTAATTTACTAAAAATAGATCCGCACCACGCCCTTTGTGTAGAATTCAGTTATCACAATTTGTGTCAGTGTAGCCCCACCGGCAGAAAAAATAAAGACATTGCTACTGAGACAAACGAAGGCTTTTATCATGGGGACAGTCTCTCATCCTCAAGGCAAGTGAAAATGTAAAATCTTAACCAGGTGCCTTATGTTTTCAGGTATTCCAGTGCCTGCTCATCGAAGGGGAGAACAGTGGTGAGGATGCGCTAAGAGAAGCAGAAAAATTTGTTATTAGCGATGAAGACTTCGAACGATTCCTGGATCGCCACAAAGATGTCTCCTGTTTGGTCCCTGAATCTAATCAGAAGGTAAAAATTAAACTGTTCTTCTGTAACTTTATCTTCAAATAATGTTGGAAAATTGGAAAGGAACTAGAAACTTTCATGGTAATTAGTACTTTCCCTATAAATAGTGGCTTAGAAGAGGTACAGTACAACTTTATCAGCAGCTGGTTTTGTTATGGTGTAAGCCAAGTTTTTTAATTTTCTTTAAGGCTTTTTATTGACCATGAAGTTATTACCAGAAAAGTAAAAACCCTTTGATCCCTGTCCTATGGAAACCGGTGGGAGTACTTTTCCCCACCATGGCATAATATCCTCAAAATGTTCAAAGTTAATAAAAACACACTTTATACTCTAAGCATAGTTTCTAATCTTTAATAGAGATTCCTCAGCTTAAATGATCACAACATTTGTTTTGAAAATGACATAATCATTCCAGCATGCAAAACTGTAAGTTCTACTGCTGTAGAAATTAATAGAAAACTTGGATATTATTTAAAACACCTTTATCCAGTTGGACACTCACATTTCAATTAGACACTGAAGAGGTCATATTTAAAGAATTACTAGTTTATTCATATATTATTTTAGTCATTCTATAATTTATTTCTATAAATTTCATCCAAGCTCACTGAAATAGTGGTGATACAGTAACTGTTTCTAAGATTTGTATCTGACTTTGAATAGTTGTTTGTTTTGCCCTTCTATTTCACTAGAATGGAATTTTAATTTTTAAATTAATTTTGTTTTTTTTTTTATTTTGATCTATTGCAGATGAGGGATTCATACCTCATTTTGGATGAATATGTAAGTCTTTGTTTGATACTTAGTATTTGTATGCTAATATATGTGTGTATCAACAGTGATAACCAATTCAATTTACTATGCATTCTATAAAACAATTTTTCCATGTAGTACAAGGAATAGATGTGATTTATTCCCATCAGACATAGTAAGAACTTTATTATAGTATGAGCTGAGAAAAACTTGCAATCAGGTTGCATAGATGATGATTGCATCACAAATTTAAAGTGTAGATGTCTATTTCTGGAGGACATCTTTGCTTTTTTTCTTTATTTTAAAAATTCAGAACATGCCCTGAAAGTTAAGTTTCAAAGTGCCTACTTAGTTTATGTGTAACTGAAGAGCCAGTCTTCAGGAATGATGGTATTGCTTTGTTCCTTCTAAGGTATACCATGTGTCTAACCATGAGCTTCTGAGCCTTCTAAGGACTAGAGTGAAACTTTTTATGCACTTACATAGGCTTTTGTGGGATTGCAGTGCAACTTGTTTAATTCTGTGGGAAAGTTAAGTTTTTGCAAATTGACTTTTTGGTGTCTTATGTCTTGATGTTCCAGATGCGTTTTCTAAACTGTAGAAATGGACGGAAAGAGCCTTCCAAGTCTATCCTAGATGTTGGTGTGGAAGCAGCTATAAAATTCAGTGGATTTGATGAGAAGATGTTCCTAAAAAGAGGAGGAAAGTATGTGTGGAGTAAAGCCGACATGAAACTAGACTGGTAACTCAACATACTGAGTTTAGGGCAGTGCATTATGTAAAGAAAATGTGTGTATATATTGAGTGTATACATGTATCTAATGCTTTTAATTACACTTGGTATATTATCCAGACTGATGTTCAGTATAACTCTGTATGTGAATGTGTTACATGTTTTTTTAAATGCAGATTATGTACTTTTATTTTATTGAGTGTGAAAATACTTTCAGAGCTTTCATATGAACAGATCTCTGAAACAAACTTTCTGATCCATTTCATGAAGGACTTAAGAGCAAACTGTTAACATAATGTCATGCAGTAAATGTTTTTAAAATACTACATGAGTGTGCATGCCAGATAAATCAAACCCCACCCCAGGCTATACTTCATTCTAAACAACTGTAATGATGTAGAAGTGAAAACTCTTATCAGGGAATGCATTCTGCCTGTTTCTCAGGGAAAGGTGGATTGCAGTTCCTCGGTAGGTCACAAGAGGGCCAGCTGGCAGGCCACCGGTAGCACCATCTGCCTTTTTCGGGGATAATAGAGGGTCAGAATCTAGGAATCATTATCTGTAATACTGTATTTAAAAGGAAATCAAGACGAAAAACTTGGCCATTCTCATTTTTTAAGCCTTAATATAAAAGTATCTGGTTTTATTCTCCCTCTCCACCATACACACATAACATTTGCAAAAGTCTTGGGGGATGTAAATTTCTGTAAAAAATATTTTTAGCTATGAAAGAATATTGTATTTGTCCATCTTAAAACCTAGAAGCATCTTCTACCTAATGATAAACAACTCCTTATTTTACATTGGCAATGGCCTTAGTTCTAATATTTACAGTGAGAATGTTTGCATTTTATTAATTCTTCCATTTTCCTTTTATCTGCAAATATTGATTTATTATTTTTAACATTTTTTCTCTCTGCATGCATACAGTTCTGATGAAAATTCCTTCTCAATTAATACAATGTAGCACAACCTAACATGAATCTTCTGTTGCATATTGGCTTTTTATTTTGCTAAGCCATGGCATTAAAAACAGAAAAGTTCATATCTCATGTAACCTTGCTTTAAAGGTTGCTTGGTTTAGTAATTATTTATCTTGCTGGTTGCAAAGCTGCAGATATTAAATGAAGTTAATTGGGGTTTGTGATAGCTGCCTTTGATTAAGAGCTTGCAGCATCAATATAAAATAAAGAAAAAGAAGAAAAAGTAGGCTAATATACTACCCTCATTCTTGGGTTTCTGGCAATTGTCATGGCTTTATAATAGCAGTTTTTCAAATTTAACTAGCCCCATCCTCCTTCTGTTTGAAGGGAATGGGGATAAGCATTGCAGAGAGCAGAAGTGAGCTGGCACTACTCATTCATCCTGTCCGTTGAATGTCTGGACTGTCTCACACTTCTAAATATTTGCAGCAGTTGGGAGTCAGCATGCATCAGCTGTATCACATACAGAAAATGGCACCTTTTTCCTTTTTTTTTTTTTTTTTTTTTTTTTTTTTTTTTTTTTTTTTTTTTTTTTTTTTTTTTTTTTTTTTTTTTTTTTTTTTTTTTTTTTTTTTTTTTTTTTTTTTTTTTTTTTTTTTTTTTTTTTTTTTTTTTTGTAATCTTAGTTGATTTTTTTTGGAGAGGTTTTTGAGAGAAATATTTTGCATTCACCTAGTGCATCTTCAAAGTTGAAGGGAAAAGCGCTTAAGTAGGAGCTGCTACTTCTGTGCACCTCCAAATATGTTGTGAAAATGTTTCCATTTATAATTCCTTCAGTTTCTATTTTTACTATCCTAACTGTTAAGTGTACTCAGTGGTGATATTTTTTCTCTATGTATTTTGCATTTTGCAATCACAACACTTCCTAGACACATTTTAGTCTTTTTTTTTTTCCTTGTACTATTAGTAAGTGGCATTTAAAATGTGACCCATACGCATTAACCCCACCATCTTTTGGCAGCTGTTTCACTGTCCTCAGTTGGAGTTCTGCCGGAGTAGCAACTATGGACAGTGCAAATTTATGTAACTGGGGTTTGACTTCCTCTGCGTTCCCACTGCTCAGATGTTAAATCTAGCCTCTTCCTCAGCACCTACACTGCATGATAGAAAAGGAGCATTTCCCTTTGCTGCTGGCTCAGTCCCAGCACAGGGAAAGATTTAGTGCAGCAATGTACCAGTAAATCTACCAGCTTGCAGCTTCTGCAGGAAATGCCAGCTGTAGCACAGCAGGCAGATGTGAGGTACACGAACTCCCCTTCAGACCCCAAAATTCTGCCATTCTTTGCTTTGCATCTTACCCTGTAAATGGCTATTCCTTTGCTTCCTCTGTGCCTACAGAGGAAGCTGCAGGAGAAACAAAATGGAGCTGAAAATGTCAAAATCCAGCAAATCATGTAAAGACATTGAAGCTGGCTTTTATCAAAAGGTTCTAAGTTCTTATCTTCTTAAAAGGATTAAGGATTTTACATCGCCTCTTGCTACCATACATAATTAAGAAAAAGGTTTCTGCTTTGTGTGACATTCTTTTTCAAAGAAAATACCAGTTGTGTACATTGGAAATGAAGAATCTGACATTACACAGTTCGACTGAAAGTAATTTAAGTTGATGAATAACTATTGGTATTTTTATATGCAAAATTCAATGTTGTGTAAAACACTGGGTTTTTTTCCTACAGCTTGATTAATCTAGTTTTTTTGGGGGGAGGGTTAATTTACAAACACAGTTCATACTGGACCAAAAATAGACTTTAGGCTTTCATGATGTAGTTGGGCCTAAATTTCAGCACAGGACTACAAAAACAAAACTGAATTTAGTAGGGCCACTCCCAGGCTTAGCAATTACAGGTACATCTTGACCCTGAAAAGTCAGGATTTAAATCTATTGAGTCTTGTAAACACAGATATGCTCAATTGTATTTTCATGTGTAACCTCATAGTATTGCAGCTAAGGACTCACATAAGATGCTGAATTAGGAAGGAACTGATGCTGTAGTGTAGTAGCGTACTAGCATTACAGAGCTTTTCCTATTTGTAAAAGATTTGTGGAGAATGAGTGTTTGGGGAACTAACTTCTGATAAAATTATGACTATACCTTGGTCAATGAGTAAAATTGTCACTTAAAATGCACTTTAGGATACCCTCTTTTTCAGTGAGAAGGATGCTGATATATTTGAGTGTTACAAAAGATGAATTTTGTAATGATGCTGTCAAATAATTAGCACGAAGTATTTCACATGAGTATGTTGCACATTTCAATAAATGTTTCTATTTTCTTAAGTTTGGTTGTTTTGGTTTTTGCTTGTTTGATAATTTATTTGTTTTTGTAATATAACCCATACTTTCAGAATGTATGTCTGCATTCACAAGAGATCTGTAATTCAGGATGCAGTCCATATTTAGCAGGGGGGATGCTCGCACAGCGCCAAGGACAGCATCTAGGCTGAAATGGAGGACAATAGTGGTGATTTTCCTTGCGATGAAAGACGTTTGTTAAAAGCCTGAGTGGACTGGGCTGTGCTGGGAATAAGACAGTTCAAATATCTTGTGCTATTCGGGTGACAGCCGCTACGAAAGACACAGCCACCCATAAACATCTGAAGACAAAAACATTATCTTCTGTCAAGGTAAACAAGAGAGAAAAGCCAGTCTATTTAGAAGACCGAAGACAAGCAGCTTCTCAAGCTCATCCCCCCTCTTGAGTCTCAGTGCAAATTCTGCTATTAGACAATGTGAAATCGACCTTTTCACAGTATTTTAGATGGATGTGGAGGCTTAGCCTCTTACTCCCTTTGCCTCTTCCCCTCCCCTCCCCCCTTCCCCCCGCCTATTGAGGTGGGGTGACGGTGCCCAGGAGCAGCGCCGCAGCGAGATGCTGCGTGTGTCACCCCCGGGGTTGCTGTGTTTTGTGAGTGTGTCACCACACAGCTTTTGTGTGTGTAGGGGGCTGCTGTGTTTAGTGTGTTTGTCACCACTGAGGCCGCTGTGCTGTGTGTGTGTCATCCCCGGGGTTGTTACTGGGCTCTGTCACCCCCGGCGCGGCCCGGGCGAGGGCTGAGCGGCGCCGCGGTGAATCCACCAGGCACCTCCCGGTTGCCTCCCAGCTCCGTGCGGCTCCTGCCGTGCCTGTCGGAGGAGGACCGGCCCTTCATCCGTTCATGCACCAACAGAGAAGCATGGACAGCGCTCGCAGCCCACCCCTGCCCGCCATGGTTCCCGTGCATTTCCCTCCTTCCTTCCCCGGCAAGCAGGACAAACCCCCCGCCCCCTCTGCACCACCAGCCCCCGTTGCTCTCTCCGGCCGCCGAAGAACCTGCTGGGCTGGGGCCTTCACGCTCGGGAAACTAGAGGTAATATTCCTTACAACAGACTAAAAACCGCACAGTAAAACGGCCAGTGCGGCTCAGCACGGCTCGGCTCGGCTCGGCACGCCCGGGCCAGCGCCTGCATCTCGCCCGGCGCTGCCAGGCAGGAAATCCCGGGATCCCCGCGCCCGCCGCCGCCAGGAGGCGCCGCTGTGCCTGGCGTGGCGCGGCCGCTTCAAAGCGGGCGGCGGCGGGAGGCGGTGGTTTAATGGCGCCCGCCCCCGCCCGCCCTCCTCCTCCGCCCCCGCCGCAGAAAAGCCCGGGAGCGGCGCCCGCCGCGCACACTCCGGCTCCGCGGGGGGTGGAGACCATGGGTGGGGCGGCGGCGCCCTGCCGCGGCTCCGCGGGATAGCGGGGGACAGCGCCGAGTACCGCCCGCGGGCCGCCCCGCGCCGGCAGCGGCTGGAGCGACACGGTAAGGGCGGGCGGGGAGCCTGGGCTCGGGTGGGGGAGCCTCCCGGGGCGGTGAGGGTGTTGTCGTTCCTCCCGGCGGGGCGGCCGGAGGCGGTGCCGGACCGCGCGGGGCTCCCCCGGCCCCTTACGTAAAGGGCCGTGCCGGGCGCTCCCCGTGGCGGGGGTGCTGCAGGGAGCGGCGGCGTTGTTATCCCGCTGCCCTCCCGGCTCCCGGAGCCCCGGGCAGTGTGTGGGGAGCGGTGCCTGGCTGCGGGCAGGGCACGGCGGGAGCGCTGCGGTGGGTTCGCAGTGACAGCGGCTCCGCGGAGCCCCCTGTGCTCTGCCCGGGGGTTTCCGTGAAGGAGCTGAAGCGTCTCGGATGAGCCCCGTGCCCTGGAGCGCGGCGGCCTCTCCTGGGGGGAGCGGGAAATTAAAGGGGTGTGTAAAGTGCCGTGCCCTGCCGGTGTTCTCAGATACGAAAGAGGTGTGTGTGCGGCGTGGGGAGAAATCGGTTCGTTTGGGTTTCAGCGGTGGAAAAAGTAGGAGTAAGGCTGTCTTTTTCCTTCTCTCGCTGAACTGAGGAGATGTTACCGTTACTTCTTTGAGGTGTCGGAAGTAACGATAGGTATGATAATGAGGTTACCTCCCACCCCCTTGATCGCCAATTTCCTTTTAAATCAAGGGTATCTTGTTCCTGAAAAGATCAGGCCCTGCATCGTGTGTTTATGGCTTTTATAGAACTGGAACAGGGAGTGTCAACGGGACAGGCTGATGGAAGAAGATACAAGCTGTTTGTATTTTTGCTGTATTCTTGGAAATACTGTCGCTTCTGCATTGGAACATAATATTCCCTGTTCTGCAACAGGCATAAATGATGATTTATAAATAGATCCATTTGTTTATATTGTTCCCCGTGTAGCCAAACAAGTGTTTACATTGTGAAATGGCTTGCTTCATTTCACATTAGCTTATCAGTGCCTACCCAGGAGTGGCTACAGCTGAAGCTGCATGTTCTTGGACAGAGTGCTACCGGAGAGATTACATCAGTAGCTTAAACTTCTGGTGGCCTGGCCTGGTGTGTGCTTCTCTAACAAGCATCAGATGTAGTGAACGGGTGGTTTGGGGGTGTGGGGGGGAGGGTGTGCGGGGTTGTAGTGTCCTGAGGGGCAGATTTATGCATTTAAAGATGCTTTGTTTATACTTAGAAGGGACTTAACGGTGTGGGAGAACTTAAATTGCTTTTTGCTGGTAGTGGGACATGAGTCAAAGTGACCTGACTTGAAGTTGGTTAAATACCCAACAGAAACAAGATCAAGTGAGTAGAGTGGTGGTGGTAGAGAGAAATAATTCCTTTTGTTTAGGAGTTGTTTGAAAAAGACAGGATTACCCCTGCCCTCGGGAAGAAGTTGTATTTCTTTGCTCCCTTCCCCCCTTTCCCTGGCCATCATGTCTCATTATCCTCTTGGGTAATCTGTGTATTATGAGGGGGGGAAACCGTCTGTGATTGAAATACTAGTACAGTGATAGGTGTTTCAGTTTGATAAAACTATTTTGAACGAGCCATTCTTGTCCTTTATGTAAAACAGTTAACTTCTAAATCTCCCTGATTCATATTCTAGGGGAGTTGCTAGATAAAATCATGTGTTTATTGTCTGCAATTATTGTAGATTTTTGCTTTGGAATCACAGTATTATGTTATCTTCACTTATTCTCTGAA